CTTCGCCCGCATCCTTCTCAGCCGCCTCAATAACCATCTGGAACGGGGCCTTCTGCCGGAAAGCCAATGCGGCTTCCGTCGTCATCGTGGGACCATGGATATGATCTTCGCCGCCCGTCAACTTCAGGAGAAGTGTCAGGAGATGCGGACCCACCTGTACTCTACCTTCGTGGACCTGAAGAAAGCCTTCGACACGGTGACTCGTGAAGGACTGTGGAAGATCATGCAGAAATTCGGCTGTCCGGAGCGATTCACTCAGATGGTGCGTCAGCTGCACGACGGTATGATGGCGCGAGTCACGGACAACGGAGCTGTCTCAGAGGCATTCGCAGTGACCAATGGAGTGAAGCAGGGCTGCGTACTGGCGCCTACCCTCTTCAGTCTTATGTTCTCTGCTATGCTGATGGACGCGTACCGCGACGAACGCCCCGGGATCCGAATCGCCTACAGGACGAACGGTCACCTCCTGAATCAACGGCGAATGCACTTCCAATCGCGCGTATCCACAACAACCGTTCACGAACTCCTCTTTGCCGACGACTGCGCCCTAAACACCACCTCGGAAGAGGAGATGCAACGGAGCATGGACCTGTTCTCTGCCGCCTGCGAGAAATTCGGTCTGGTCATTAACACGCAGAAGACGGTGGTGATGCACCAACCGCCACCCAACTCAGCCACAGCCCCCAACGCGCCGCCGCAAATCAGCGTGAACGGAACCCAACTGCAAGTGGTGGAGAACTTCCCGTACCTGGGCAGTACTCTCTCCCGCAACACCAAGATCGACGACGAAGTCGCCAACAGGATCTCGAAAGCCAGTCAAGCCTTCGGTCGCCTCCAAAGCACAGTTTGGAATCGACACGGTCTTCAGCTGAGCACGAAGCTGAAGATGTACAAGGCCGTCATCCTGCCGACACCAGTGTATGGAACGGAGACTTGGACGGTGTACGCAAAGCAGGCGCATCGTCTGAACCACTTCCACCTCAGTTGTCTTCGTCGCATCCTGAGGCTAAAGTGGCAGGATCGAATCCCCGACACTGATGTGCTGGAACGGACGGGAATCCTCAGCATCTACGCCATACTGAGGCAAATTCACCTGCGCTGGAGCGGCCACCTGGTGCGCATGGACGACGAGCGACTACCCAAACGACTCTTCTACGGAGACGTCGCGACGGGTTCTCACCGTCAAGGAGGCCAGATTCGCCGTTACAAGGATACCCTGAAGTCCTCCCTGAAATGCCTGCAAATCAACCCGACCAACTGGGAGGAGCTCGCACACGATCGACCGACCTGGAGGAGGTCAGTGAAGACAGGCGCTGAGATATACGAAGCCAACCGGATCGCTGTTACCAAAGCGAAACGTGAAGCCCGCAAATCACAACTTCGCCCAGTAAGCAACGCCGCCGCACAACCGCTTCCAACGTGTCCTCGATGTCAACGGACATTCCGGGCTCGAATCGGACTTCTTGGACATCTTCAGATTAACTGCGCCTCTCGAACGTCACCAACCATCATCCCCCCGCCTTCCTCTTCCTCCTCCTCTCCGCCGCCAAGTAACCCTGACAATTCTTCGGACCCACCACTTCCATCATCCTTTTCCTCCTCCTCCTCCTCCTCCTC